ACTGAGCTTTGCTCTAAAACTTTGTCCAATTTCTATGCATTACCAGCCAAAATTCTGTCCTCAGATATGTAATAAGGTTGGAAGTTCAAAGCCAAGATGACCCAGGAAATGTATGAAAGGTGTCTTGATGTAGCATCCTTCATTAAATCAACTATATATTTAGAAGAGATGTAAGCAAGCTTGGCACATGGGCTTTCTGAGCATCCTGTCATATTGAATGAAATAGTTTGAATGTTTGTAATGGTTGCCCATTAGCCAGTTTCAGGAAGAAGATAAGATTTATCTCCTTATCTAGATCATTGTTTTGGACTACGTGTGGAAAATCCAGACTTTGCTTAAAGTCTTAACTTTTGAATTTTATCTTTAGAAGTCTTTTACAAAGAGAACCTGAAAATTGACCCTTCAGCAAATATCCTGAGTTCTGAGAGATCAAACCCTAGAGCCTTTTGACAAGATTGGTAAGAAAAAGGTCACTTGCAGTGATATGGAAGTTCCCCAAAAGTAATTAAAATGATCAACAAAAGAAACTAATTACTAAGCAAAAGAATCTGTTGAGTAAGATCCGAGCCCAAATTTGGGGGTAATGACAGGTTTGAGTAGGAGGAGCCCATTGACGGTAACTCACTCAATAAAAACTGTAACTTACTCTCCCAATTTGGAGGTGACTATACTTGCAGAACAATGAAGGAAGAATCACAAGTGTAGGCCGGATCAGACTGATCACATGAACCACCCTCTCCGTGAACACGAATCTCTTAGTTCACGCTGAAGCTGCAGAGCGCCCGAAAGGGACTGAAAGAAGGGGACTTAGTCCTATCAGTATTGAGGCCAGCCCATTGAATCGTATTGCTGAGGCGAGCCCATTGAACTGTACTACTGAGGCCAACCCATAAAATTGTACTACTGAGGAATGAAACCATATTTAGGTGTTTGGCTTCTCGGAATTCTAGGATTGTAAGTATATTATGAAAAATAATAGTATTGATTCAAATTTAACTTTTAGTTGTAATTGTAGTTGTTTTTGTAATACTAATTCTTATAGCATTGTTTGGGAAGGAAGTGAATTCGGAGCATTGTTTCTGATATATGTAATTATTGTGTTCTTAATGTTTGTGGTATTTCTAAGCTAAGCAGTGTTATATACATAGCAAAGAGTTTTAAAATAAAATTGTGTTGTATGAATTAAGTGTGTAATCATTGTGAAATCGTGCAATCAGCTAACTACTCCCCCAGCCAGTGCATCAAAACGAATCAGTAAATTGTGTGGGATTTTCTCTATTCCATAACCCACTAGAGACACATCCCTTGTGAGATTCTACACACGTAATTGAAAATAGAATTTATACCATGTTGAGCCCCTTAAATTTCATAAATATATCGTTTTGGACTTGATTACAGAAAGCATTGAAAAGCCAAGTGTCTATCAAATATGTTCAGTCATTAATCCGTATCTATGTGTGTGATATCTGAAAATATCTACGTATTTTGAGGTCAGATACTGTAGGCCTCACTTAAGATTTACATAGGCAAAACATTAATCAAACTCAGTATATCAAATCCTAAAGTCTCTTCACCATTTGTGTTTGGTAATTAGTTAGATAAACCAGTCCTGGAAATAATGGAAATGTTGCCTAAAATGTAGAAGCTATATAAGGAAAGGACTGCCCATAATTAAATACATTTTTATTGCTGTTCTGTGTTAGCATCAATTTATTAATTTCTTTTCTTCATCAATGTGATTTATTCTTACTGATATTCTACAGCAGGATATATAGTCCTATTTTCTCCTGATATGACGCAATTAAGCATACAGTGGTAAACATTAAGACTAGAAACTTCAAATTAGCCTTATTTGTTGGTTCCAATTCTTGAAAGTTCAGTTTAGGAGAGGGGTGGGCAAAATGTGCCCTGTGGGGCAGATGCGGCCCACCAGGCCATTCTATCTGGCCCACGGGGCCCCTAAAAAAATTAGAAAATTAATATTTATCTGCCCCTGGCTGTCTGTCATGTGGCCCTTCATGGCTTGCCAAAACTCAGTATGTGGACCTCCGCCTGAAATAATTGCCCGCCCCTGAATTAGGATGAAGAATAGTTACCAGAAAATGCAGCTTTGAATTTTTTTTCTTTGCCAAACTACATTCTTTTGGATAGAATCTGCCACCACCAGAAGTGGATCCAGGATTTTGGTAAGGGGGTGCAGAAGCAGCAACCAGTGCTGGAGGTGTGGCTTCATCCTCCAACCAAGGCAGGTGGACTATCCCATGAGATTTAAGTCCCCCAATCTGGTAAGAATCTTCCCTCCCCTCTCTCAGTCCCTTCCCTTCCATTCCATGCTCAGCAGCACTTCTCTTCCCCTCTCACTCTCACCTCTCCACATCCCCTGACTAAATTGGGAGAGGTTCCAGAGTTGCTCCTGTCTCAGTCCAATCAGGCTGCATAGACAGCATGGCTCAGACAAGGACAACAGCAGTAATGGGTGGGTTCTCCTTCTCTGAGCCTACTCCCAGACTGGCAAGGAGCACCCAGAGGACTGGGCAGGAAGGAGAAATCTGCCCATTGCTACTGTATCAAGCTGAGCCTGGTTACCCACGAAGCTTGACTAGAGAAGGGCAGGAGTGGTTCTGGAGCCACCCCAGCCCCAAAGCAGCCATGGACAGCAGCTCCGGTGGATTGTGGGGCACAGGGGGCCCTGAGCACAGAAGGGATGAGGAGAATTCTTACTTGCTTCGGAAATGTAAAGAAGTCCCAGACTGCTACTCCCACAATGCCAACTGAAAGAGAAGTGCATCTGTGCTACTGCATCCCCTCTGGATCTGCCACTGGCCACCACAAACATGAAGGGGGAGTTTAACATTTCACAATAAGATCCATGCCTCAGGTAGCCATCGTGGGTATCACTGCATACTGTGACAGAGCCCTTATTTAATATTTCCACCAACACATTTCTTTATGTACTTCTCAGCTTGAGTGTTGGATTTCATCAGTATAATAAGATCCTCCACCCATTTGTCCAGCAAATTAAAGAAAACAAACGTCTCCCCATCCACCAGGACCTCAACAACGCACCTCACTATTGCCTAAAGTTGTACAAGCCCTTCTGGATCCATGCGCCTAAACTTCAACAATAAGACTTCAATGCTGATGAAGCTTGGAAAACCAAATGGAGTTCACAGGAAGATCCAAATAAACATCTTATGATAGATTCAACACAGAATGTCCAGGCTTGATCTCCCACGACGCTTATGGGCAACTCTAATCCATATCTGTACAAAACACAGGAGACGTGGATACTTGATGCACAAATGGATAATTAGAAACTATCCCTTGTGTGACTGTGGTCACTCGGAACAGACCATGGAACATATAATGACTCAATGTCTGATCCACAGATATGAAGGAGGCATCACAGCGATATACTCTGCTGCTCCTGACACAACTTTCTGGCTCAGCCACCTAAATGTAAAATTATAGTAGCTGTTCCATATCTCCATCAGCCATACAAAAGAAGACGAAGAAGACGTATAATCAATATTATGAGTGAAATCTTCAGCCTTACTCCAGTCCTTCACAGTATAAAAATGTTGGTGCAGCAAGACATGGATTCCCCCAGTGCAGGCACAACAGAAGGCTACCTCTGAAGGACCTCTTCACAAGCCTGGGTGTTAAAAGCACACTGGTCACACAGCACTACAATCATGCCTAACAGCTAATTTGCGTACACCTCTAATTTGGGATACTGTAATTTGGGCAGGCCTTCAGAGCCTACATTACAGCAGCAGCCTCTTTAACCCTGCAACAGGCTATGAGTACCGGGCACAACAGTGGTTTCATGCAGCGTTTCCCAACCAGTGTGGTGCAGCACAAAAGTGTGCCATCAAAAATGAACAGATGTGGCATGAAATTTTGCCATGGCAATGGGCTACAACAGGTATGAGGATGGGGAATGCCTTAACTGGTGTGCCATGGAAAATTTTTATTAATGTAAGTGTGCCTTGGGCTGGAAAAGGTTGGGAAACACTGGCTTAAGGGACAACAGCACACTGCAGCCCTCCACAGTAGTCCCACTGTAGTTTTTCCATTCTAATCATTGCTGATTTGAGGCACAAGGTGGTTTTCTACATGACAGGGCCACATTTGCATGGACTAAACTTGGAAGCTTCCATCGGCAATTAGGACTGCTGCTCAAGCACCTCCCAATCAGGAATAACAGAGAAAACAAATAGTCATAAATGGCTGTAGCTGTGCGCATAGTTGATGATTTTAGAAAACAGGGAGAGGTAGTTAGACTTGTTAGCTGCAGTCCGGCAGATGGCAGGGTACACAGGCACCTTTAAAGACTAGCTATATAAGATATAGAGAGAGCACACACTTCCCTGAACCCATGTTCCTTTCTCATAAATGTGCTTGAAACCAGGCACATCTACATGGTCATTTAGATACTGCACATTTAGTTTAGCACTTGCTTAATAAAGTACTAGTAGCCCATGGTTATTTTGTGATGTTTCCTGCACGTGAGCCTAATAACCCTGCACACTATGCTATTTGCATGGTTTTTAACCACCACACTACTGCACAGCGTTATTAGGCTAAGCAGCTCCTCTAGACACACCCACTAAAGAGGCACCGCTAGAGACTTAACTAGGTACGGTGTTACTCAAATCTAAGACAACCCTCCATTTAATACGACTTCCCCCAATACTACAGTTTTACACATGGAAAAATATATAAACTTGTTTTCTTTTTCCATGCAGCGCATGTAACTGTGGGAGAGTCTCTACCCTTCACGCCTCCCACCGCTGCCCATGGCGAGGCACAGGAGCCCAGCTTTCCCCACCCCCCGCACAGGATACCAGCTCTCCCTACGCCCCGGTAGGCTCCACCCCCATTCCAGAGGGGGGCTGCGCGCGCAGCTCCCCCCCAGGAGGGAGCCCACGGGCAACTGGTGACGTCAGCGCGGCTCTGGCTCCACCCCCTGGAACGGAAACGATGTTCTAGCCCTGCTGGCGGTTCCGCTCTCTCTATGCTTCGCCAGTGGGCCGCGGCCGGAAGGGGGACCAAGTTTTAATGGCGGCTTCAAGCACCGCGGCTGTCGTCGGGGGGACGCGCGAGTCCGGCTCCGGGGCCGCGGGGCAGGGGCGGAAGAAAGCCTACGGCAAGGTACGGCGCAGGGTGGGAGTGGGGGAGGGGTGGCGGTTGGGAGCCCCCTTCCCCCTCTGCGTCCCCTGTGACGTCAAGGCGGAGTGAGGGGGGGAGCGGGCGGGGTCACTTGTCGCCTGCTCGCCCGCTGTCGCTTGTGCCTGCCCCGCTGAGCTGCTGCTCCGTGCCCTGCCGCCTCCTGTCCCTCTTCAGCAGCTGCGTGCTCGTCCCCCAGTAACGCTGCCTCCAGCCTTGCCTCTCACCAGCGCTTCGCCGAGCACCCGCTTGTTGGCCGGCCCCCGTCTTTCTCCTGTCGAGGAGTGAGGGGGGGAGCGGGCGGGGTCACTTGTCGCCTGCTCGCCCGCTGTCGCTTGTGCCTGCCCCGCTGAGCTGCTGCTCCGTGCCCTGCCGCCTCCTGTCCCTCTTCAGCAGCTGCGTGCTCTCCCCCCAGTACCGCTGCCTCCAGCCTTGCCTCTCACCAGCGCTTCGCCGAGCACCCGCTTGGGCCCGTGCCTCGCTCTGTCTGTTCACGCTTCTCAGGGCCGACTAGGAGCTGCCGCACCTGCGAATGCAAATCTTAAAAAGAAAAAAAATAATAATAAAAAAGAGGAGCCCACATCTACTCCGCTCTGGGAAATCCTGCGATTCGCTCCGTTTGACCTGAAAGCTGCTCTAAGAGGAAAAAAAAAGAGAACTGTGTCTATTTCTTCCCTCTCCAGCTTGAAAAGCCGTCTGCTTCTGCGTTTGTGCCAAGGATGCGCATATAAATCAGTCGAGCGAGGACTGTAACGTGCTTCCTGTAAACGTGTGATTGTGGAAGGGCGCAGTGAAGGCGCTTCCTCAAAGTATGAGTGCAGCTGGCGCTGCAAGTGATGCCCTCGTCCACCAGTACGGATGCCTGCCAAGGACAGCAGTTGACAAGCTGACAGTTTCTGAAAGTTAACTTGGCTTAGGGGAATAGCAAGTGGTTTTAATCGTTTATTTCGAGTGCACCTTCCGAGCATTCAAGCCTTTGACAAACCTGCACGCTTGAAAAATTGTTTAAATTATCTCAGTTCTCTGTTTTGCCCAGCTCACGTGCTGTATGGGGAGTAAGAGTTATTCAGAAATATTTCACTTGTTTGGAAAGGAGACAAGAAACAAAAGCACCCCTAGTACGAAGCCTGCGCTGCTATCTTAGCCACATACTGCTTGTTATATCTAGCCTGAAGTTATATTTTTGTGAATGTCAAAGATACTGCATAAGTATTGGACATTTGCATAATGATTTGATTCAGTGTGTGGTATTTATCTGTCTCTTCTTTAAATGTAATTTGTAATATGAAATCTCCAAAGGAATTTGGAAAAGAGGTTCCCCTAGGGGTAAAAAAAAAAAAAAAAAAAGTAATAATAAAGCAGCTCAAACGGTTATTAGGAAGTTTAAAATACTCAAGGAAATAATTAGTGTAGCATACACACACTATCAAGGAATGAAGACCAAAATGGTGGACAAATATTAGTAAAAATATTAGTGGTAAAAATATTAGACAGAAAAAAGAACAGTTTTTGTATCCTTTGTATATCTGTTCTAGAAACAACCAAGAGTTTATAGTCACTTTAAAGCGGCACCACCGTAAGCATGAATGTCATTTGCTTTCGCTCAAAAGCTAAAATTCTTATCATTAACATATAAGGGAGGCAACATATAGTTTACTCCAGACATTTAACAGTTATTTCTCTGCATGTAGACTATTTCCTCCAGTGTAGTCAATAAATCCTGCCTGAGAGCCAGATGGGAAGGAGGTTGGGGAAGGAGCAGACTCTCCTGCTTGCCTTATGTTTATCAGATAATCCTAATTCAAAGGTCTTTAATGATGAGAATTTTAAACCTAATGCAGGCGGGAACATCCATTTCTACTGCTTCCCTTTCTAGTCTGCATGAGGCAGTTGCACCTGGTGACGGCAACTTGGAGAGAAACACATGGATAAATCTCCAGGCTGCCAGACCAATGCCAGGTGGGGCTTACCCATGTGTTTCTGTTTCTGGGAGGAGCATGGGTGGTCATGTCATAAAGGACTGCGGCAGAAGTGGGCATTTGAAGTCCACCAGATAACCCTAACGCAGGCAGGAGCTCATGCACTTCCCCCAGCCACTTTCTGATCTGGGCAGTTCCACTTGGCCATGGCTGCAGCTGCTGTTGCAAAGCCCCTGTTGAGAACCACTGAAATAAACATAGGCTGTGCAACAGTGGTTCTCAACCAGCATGGTACCAAATTCAGAAATGTTATAGAGGGGTGCCCTGAATGCAAAAAGGCTGAGAACCACTACTGTATGGTGTAATATTCTTCACTGTTTCCACGCTATCCAAAACTATTGCTGGGGATCCTGCACATCTCATGGAATTTTAAATAAGGAGTTAGGGATAATAGAATAGAATACTAAACAATAGTAAAAGCTGTTGCTCTGTAGGATAAATCTGTCTTGAAACTAGTAGGGAATTATGCACAGAACTGGCTAGAAGCTTTGCACTGGAAATAGCTTTCATACTCGCCAAAAATGGTGCCCCCACAAATAATTTGATTTTGGAAACATGTCATGCAAAAGACCACTAAGCTATTGTGTATATAAAAAGACATAATTATAACACCCATGCATAGTCATAATTACATTCTGATTATGAAACTAAATTTCAAATGCACTTTTTTTTAGGAAAACTCTAAAGCATTACAATCAAGGGGATTTCTGCTGCAAAAGCTCCAGACAATGGCTTTACACAGCCTTTTGTAAAAAAAAGAAAAAAAAGAGAACCTATTAACTTATTTGTTTCATATCAGGAAATCATTGAGTCTTAGACAGTTGGTGTCATTTTCTTTTATATTGGTCTAGATGTTTCATGAAATATTCAGTTTTCCTCTTCTTGAAAGATTATCATTTTGGGGTGGTTATCTTTTTGTCTGATGTGACAGCCCCAATAGTTCTAGAGTTCCTTCTTCTAGGGTACAAGTGGCCAATACTTCAATAAATTGATAGTACAGTGTTTTAGGACAAATATGTACAATTATTAATTTTTCTAATCCTTTTATATATGCAAAATTGTGTGTAGTTGAATTGTATAATTAAGTTAGGTTTATATTCATCTTAGTTTAAGGTTGCTCATGAGTGTTTGTTTAAAAAGCAAATTAATGCTTATATGAAAGCTTCTTAACCCTTTGGCTTCAAGCAAATGCAATTGTGTTGTGCTAGAAGTAACCCAAGCCTTGTAGCAGATGTTTTGATGCTTTCACGCTCATGTTGGGTTTGCAGCTAGTTTCAAGTGGATATTGTATCAGACAACCATGTATATAAGTGTACTTTCTGAGATCTGTACTCTTGTGTGTAGGTCTTACATTAAGAATCAGTCTTTAACTTGGGTTGAATATAAAACTGCCTCTGAAGAGAGTATAAAATAATTAATTCTTGAATAAAATAAAATGTAATTTCAGCCTTATACTGCTTAATAAAAGGAAGTAGTACACTAGGGCTCCTTATGAAATTAATTTTAGGGTTTTTAATATTTGAGCCTAGTCTGTAAAGCTTTCAGATAAAGGTTTGCAGCATAAATCTGATTGACTTTAATGCTTTCTCCAGGGTGATCCTCATAGAAACTACTAAAGACTACAAAGAATTGATTCTAGGCAAAATAACAGTGAAATAGATTGTACTGATCAAGTAAGATGGATCCATGTTCAGTTGGAATTCAACTTCAAGTTGCCAATGAGTGTCATAAGACCTACTATACTCGTTACATTGGCTTCAAGACTAAACAAGAAATACCATCATCAGATCTGATGTTACTTCAGCTTAGGACTGGAATGTCTCTTTCTGAGAACAATACAATCTGCTTCCATCACGCCACAATTTACATTGACAGATTTGAAGACATGCAAAGATCATGTTGTGACCCATTTAATGAGCACAGAAAATTATCAAAGAAAAATTTACGTGCAATTGACTTACATGATGCAACTTTTCTAAGTGCCAAGTTTGGAAGACAGTTTGTACCTGGCTGGAAGCTTTGTCCAAAGTGTATGCAGATAATCTATGGACGTGTGGAAGTTGATTCTGAAGATCGCCAAAGAAGGAAACTTGATTCAGACGTATGTATATGGATAATTTTTCACCCCTCTAATTCCCCACACTAATGGGGTGGGGCTGGCTTCATTTGAGTCCTACGTAAAGAACGTTCTTAAGTCTTTTCCTGAAAATCTGAAAGTATTTAGTCGCTTAAGTCTCTGGTAACTCATATTGTTTATATGCCTTTTGTTGGAAGCTCTGTGTCCTTTTAAAAGAGACTGACAAATTTTTTTTACTCACTTGTCTTTAAAATTCTACAAGAGCCCTTGTGAGAGAAGATGTCGTGAATTTTTTTGCTTTTTATGGACGTGTGTAGGATTTTTCTCGGGTTGCTAATTAGCATTATGCAGTCTGAAAAAGGTTGTGTATACATTAACATGTGTGAAACTAATAAAAGCCATAGACTCTTTCTCAGAAAAAATAGCTTTGTACTTTAGAAACACTTGCCCTTCTAGCCCAGGAAGCTAAAACTGTATTTTTGCTAACACATTAAAGCCTGATGAGGAAAGTATAAGAGTTTAGAGTGAGAATCAGAAAATGAGAATCCATTCCAGTTATTCAAGTAAGAGTTGTATTTTTGTTTATTCATTTAACTTGCACCATTAAGTGGCACAATTACTTGTTGTAACACTCTTCTTTTAAGATTCATCTTGTTACCTGCTGGGAAATGCAACGCTCGTGCACAAATTGACTTCAACAATTTACCTAAGGCTTGATGGTTAATTTTCCTATGGAATTGGTTTAGTATTAATATTTAAAATGAGAATTTCTATCTTTGTTCAGGGACGAACAGCTAAAGCTTTGAAGTCCCTGCAGTTTGCTAATCCAGGACGACAGACTGAATTTACTCCAGAAACCAGTAAAAGAGAAAAAAGAAGGCTACAAACAAAAAGTATATCAACTATTTCTGACAGGTGAGCTGTTTCCTGTATTAACTCAAGTATAATTTCCTTTCATGTGTCTCATGAGGAGGGGGAAACGTCTCTGTTTTATGAACTCTATTTCAGATTTCTCCATAATTTGGGGTGCTTGTTTCCATCTTTTTAAAGGTTGGACTAGGATAAATTGTCCTTATATATCCAAGTCTCGTAATAATATTTTAATGCAATATTTTGTTTAATCAGTTGCCTTTGTGTTAAAATAACCAAAGGTAATGTAAGCTTTATGAGAGAGAGATGTTCAGGGAGTCACCATGCTAAATATAATCGTTCTTGTTGCACTTTTGAAGTGCAAAAGCCCCCTAAATCAGAGTATTCTTGTTTTAAAGGCAAGCTAAACAAATTTAGGAGTGTATATAAATAAACTTTGTTAGGAAAGACTAATGCCACATCAAATTTGGCAGGACTCCACAATTGAACTACAGCTTCTTTATCTGATATGATTTTTCCCCCTGTTTGTTAGTAATCCATTCCTTGGATTGAATAGAATTAGGAGGTGGGGGGTAAGCAATGAGTAAAATGTAAACTGAGTTACAGTTAACTGAATATGGGATTGTGGTAAGGATATGACAAGTGAGAACATTCCTGTGAACTATCTGTGTTAAAGGGCTAAAAAAATGTAAGGCACTAGTTTTTATGAAGGGAGAAAACAAGGTGTATACTAGGTACAGATTTTTAAAATGGCTTGGTGCTAAACAAGAAAACTGATAAAATGCTTGAAACCAAAATTCACAAAAGAAATTAGTTGCATCTCTCCTTTTATTTCCAGCAATTCATAATAACTGTTTTTTATTATACAGGCAAATTATACCAGCAAAGAGTAAAGTCTATGATAGCCAGGGACTTCTGATTGTCAGTGGGATGGACCTCTGTGACTGTCTTGATGAAGATTGCCTGGGATGTTTCTATGCTTGTCCCAAGTGTAGTTCCAATAAATGTGGAGCTGAATGCCGCTGTGACCGCAAGTGGTTATATGAACAAATTGAAATAGAAGGAGGAGAAATTATTCGCAATAAACACGCTGGTTAATGTACAAATATATATTGATTGATGTATTGCATCTAAATACGGAACTTAGCCTGTTGAAAATGAGTGGAATCCATCATCACACATACATTAAGTGTTTACAGTTCCATATCCATGTTGATCTGATTTTTAGAAAGGCTCTTTATCATGTTGGTGTATTGTCACACTTCATACCACCTTATATTCAATTTACGCAAATCAGCAACGTGACTGAATTGTTGCAGTGCATTAGTAGTTAATGAAATATTGTATCGAAGTGCAGGGGGAAAATGCTAAAAGAAATCTGGAATTAGCTACTTCATAGTCCCTCTCTATAGAGAATACTATTTTCATGCATCTCTTCTTGATCAATCTCTACCTTTAAAGACTCAGTGTTTCTGCTTATATTTAATGTGTCTTTAATTTAAACTACTACACATTTTAAACTTAATTCATTGGCAGTCATATCCAGTATTATGTGTTGCATAATCGTAAATACTCTGTCTTCTAAAGTGAGATGTGGACCTGCCTTCCATCAGACTTAAAAAGGATCAACAGCATGTCCAATGCACTGGAAATATTGAGCTGGATATTTTGGGGGGGGATGTCAGTCCAGTAAAAGAATGTGGTGTCCTGTTTTATTATTCAGGCAACTGCTTTTAGCTGAATTTTGTATAGCCTTATTGAAATTACTTGGGATTAGAGATAGTGTTTTGTACGCAAAAGTTGGATGTAGTTAGTCCATGTTAGACTGATGACTATTTCAATTTGTTTACTTAGTAGCTGAAAATCACCCAAAAGTCTTCCTTCCATTAATATTCAGACTAAATATAGGCAAACAAATCAGTCAGATTTGAATGTTATTCCTTTGATTGAAACTGTATCCCTGACTTCACACCAAATGAATGTTTTATACCCATGTCATAGAAAAATTCATGGAAAGTAGATTTTTTTATGGTAGAAGTTCTAACAAACTTTTAAAGAGTAGCATTTGTACTGTTAAGCAATCTCAACCTTTTGGATGATATAAAAAAATCTTACTGGGAGTTTTGGCGTGTCAAATTTGTATTTATGGAATTATTCACATCAGCGGTGCTCAAGGAGTTAGTTGCCTTCTTGATAAAATTTACTAATGGCAGATTTCATCATTCTGCTATTTTATTATTTAGTACATAACTTTCATTTCAATAGATTTGCAGCTATAGAACTAATTTTTAAGTTGTGCATAGCTGGATATGAAATTATTTTTACTAACCTTATCTCTCTAACTTACACTGACATCTGCTGGTACTGATGAAATACTAAGCAGCAATTCAAACTCGGTGCATTTTTTAATCTGTTCACTTACTGGGATAGTCTTTTTATTAGATTTTGTGTTCACTGACTAGTAACTACAATTTTCTTATATAGTATGTAAAAAATATATATGTTAGTAGTTTAAGTTCTTTGTAACTTCTGTGTAGTATCACAATATTAAAGCACAGTCTCATCAACTTGGTAAAATATACTTAATCTTTCAATTTCCTACTTCAGTAGGAAAGTTGTCAAGTTACTAAGTAAATTGAGGGTAAAACTGTCTTAAGCCCTGTCCAATCAAAATAGAACTGTTTTTAGATTAACAGTTTTCCAAAAACGCTGGATATTTTAGTGGCTTTTGCCAAGTTGCTTTAGCTAGAAGGGTTTTTGTTTTTTTGTTTGTTTTTTTTAAAGCTTGGTTTTATTGTAGTGTAATATAATATTCCTCAGAACTCTGTTCATATATCCAATTCACTCTTCCTTCTACCAGGTGGTCCCAAAGGATTTTATTTCTCTGTTCAGTTTCATCCCTCTCCTAATTAAAGTGTAAAGGTTATAATATCTGCTCTTTAAAGGGGCTCTGCTCCTGTAGCTTTCTCCTGTTTCATAAATCAAAAAAAAAGTCTAGCTGTGGCTTATGGTATAGTTTTTAGAACAAAGATGATATTAAGTGCTTAAAATATCATCATAACTTAAAATATAAGCTTTAGTTACTGATTTGGTTGTTCTCAGAAGATTTGCTATGGATAGTGAGTTTTAACTTCTCAGAGCCTGACTATTCACCCCAACATGAGCACGTAAAGATTGATTTGCAGAGATTAAGGGTCTTTTGATGCATAGGTTTGGTGCACAGTGGCAAGGAAGTGAAGGTGTTTCATTTTGCTCAAGTGAATTTCAGCCTAGCTGCCTGTTACTGGCTAGCTTTAAATATGAATCTGCTTATTTGCCTGGAGAGTTAACAGCTGGATACAATGTTAGCAACATGAGGAAGTCATGTTATCTTAGTTCTAAAAATTGGTATTCACATCCCATTTGAATTTGCATACCTTGTAAAATGCAGTTGCTTTATCCTGAATACATGACCTCCAGGGGAGGGAGGAGTGCAGCGGCAGGGTAGTTAATACCTTAAGTTCAAGCTCTGTTTCGGACTTCCACTTCAGATGTAATGCTAGCCACATCTTTCTTGTGTGTTGTTGGCTATAGGAAGTGTTATGCATTAGGCATACTAATCCAATAGGTTCTTAGGGTCAGGAGGATCTTTGACCTGACTTAGGCTTTGGCATCATTGCTGCTTCCAAGGCATCTTTTATAAAACTAGTGGTTAGGATATTTGCAAAGTGGTAGAGCTGGATATCCTCTTTCACAACTGGAGGAAACAAACCTACCTCCCAGAAGAGCCTATATGCTAAATTCTAGTATTTGGATTCCACTGATACAAGGCATCTAAAATGTAGGTATTGAAGTGATCAAGATCCTGCTTCAGGTTGCTCTGGTGCTGAAAGGAAACTGAAAATCTTTCAGCAAGAGTGGCACAATTATTGTATGTGCAATCTGTATTTTTAATGCTTTTTGTAGCACCAGTTCATATAGACCGGAAAGGGTATTAAATACTTCTAAGTAAATTCAATATGTTGTTTTGTCTCATCAGATCTATTGTGAAGACAGAGAAATACTGTTAAATATCTAAATATCATGTCAAGCAATCACTGGACATGAAACAAAACTAAAGGTATATGCAATAAAAATGGATCTCCTCCCTGCTTCCCTTCGTTTTTCATGAGTATATCCATGTTCCTTCCCTTTCCATCGAGCATTCAGATAATATTCTAGTAAAGAACTGACGGATGAACTTGTTACCTCTCATATGTTCCCTTTTCATTCCCAAGGTTCCCTAACATCTATGTTTTATTGTTGAAAAATACATCAGAAATTAATGAAAGCAAGATTTGTAGAAATGGTCCTTTTTATTAAAAAATGCTCGTTATATGTTTCTTAAATCCATAATGGCTTTGCATTCCTCGTTGCAATCTTGGTCAAACAATGCACCCCACATTGGGCCCTGAGCAGGTTGAAAGCTTTGCCTTCTATAAACTTAAAAGATATATAATGTTTTTTCCCAACAGCAGAAATGTATGGTAATTGAAAGATTATTTCTTCCCATTCTCAGTTGAAACGAACTACATGTTGTTGTTAAGTAGTAGTCCATAAGGGAACTTTGCACTGCTTGAAAAGGGGTGAGGGAATTCCAGTTTAGGAGGTTGCAGCAGTTTTTATGAAGTATCTTATGTTTGCATGCTTCCGTAGGAAGCCAAGTGTAGCAAAACTGCTGTAACTTAAATCTTGAATGGAAACAGTTAAAGTTACAGTAATTTAGCTCACTTATTCCACTGCAAGTTCCTCTACCCTTATAACAAGTTTGAAAATTACTTTAGTTATAAGTGAGCTAAGTCACTAAATTTAACGCAAATGAAACAAGATTAAAGATTTTTTTGCTACATCATACGCTAAATTAAGGCTGTTCAACTTCTAAGTGGCCACGACCTGCATTACCTGTGGGCTGTACTAGTAGGACTCACTGGCCCCTAGACTACATGCTCCATGGACCCCCACCATCCCTTTGCAGGATATGCCTGCATGGATGCTATCATCCTCTCCTTCCCAATGCAACAACCCCATATGGATACTGTGGCTCTAGTCTCACCCTGAACTTCCTACATTGGACCATGCTATACCACCACTCCCCAAGACAGGCACATAACAGAATCCAGAGGAGGGAGTGAGGTCTGGAGCAATAGGGGAAATAGCAGCCAGGCAGGGGCCAGGCACCAAAACCTAACCTCTTGTGGCCCCTGTGGGCTGCCAGTTGAAGAGACCTGCCCTAAATCTTCAAAATTAGGTTCTTGCAGCATGTTATGATGTGGCCAAATATCTACCAACTCCTTTTATAAGCAATTCAATTAAAGGTTTCTAAATCAAGTAACAACCTTAAATTCCATATGCATTAAAAAATAAAATGGTATGTACACAAATCCTTGTTTTAAAGCTTGGGGCATAAATTTGTCCACAAAATCAAATTCAGCATAAAATACACACAGTTGACACACAAACAAGTTTTAAGTATTTGGGAGATCAGCACTTGCAATGGAAGAGCAAACTTTCATTTATGAATAAAACAAGCCATGCATATCAATGAAGTTGTTGTTAAACAGCTGGACATCCTGATTCAGGTCAGTGTGTAACATAGTATTTAGAGAAACTTCTTGATTTCTCTCACCTGTATAGCAACATGAATTTCACTTTGGGACTCATCTAACTTACAAAGTTAGTGGAAGGTTTTCTTTACTGATGTAAGAATGGCATCATGGTCCTTGTAGCTGAGGTATTCTGTGCCCTATTTTTCCTAGTGGAGTTGAAGGTTGTGCATGGTGATAAAACATTTCCTGGGCTGCTGTGTCTGTTAATTGATTCAGGAGCTAATGCTTCTATCTTGGGCATAGCAGCTTCAGGTAATTAATTTCTGAGAAGGGATTCCATTAACATCTTGACAACACCTATGATACTAAAAGGCCTAATAAATAACGTATGCATATGTTTTTGGAAATTTAGTTGGGGCACACATGAATTATGCTGACAGCAACTAAAGGAAAATATTCCTTTTTACCTTTTGTGCCAAAGATTTACTTTAATAACTGATGTTAAATAACTGCCCATTGGATTTTTATAATATTTTTTTTCTCTCTACTTGCCCCCTGCCCCTCCCAAGATACTGTTTTTAATTATTTGCCATTTCAGTCTCAAGAGGTGTGTCTACACGTGCTGATTTAACGTGCTTTACCCATTTTTCAGGCGCATTAAGGGCGTGGCCCTCCACATGCCCACCCTTAAAGAGCCTTAAAAATGGCAAGTTTAGGCTATTCGCACCTAAATTTGATACCTGCAAAAGCTTTTGTCCCAAGTCAGTCCACATACTGTATTAATGCACCTTAGCACATGAACATGTAGACGTACGCCTAAATTGCCTTAATGTGCATTAGGCAAATGGTCATTAAGTTTAGTCATGTGTAAAAGCAAGTCTAGACATGCCCAAGAAGTAGAAGATAATGACTAGACCTAGACATGCAAGATAGGTTGAACTGGTTACTACCTACAGATACCTCAAGCTCTACTTAGATTTCTGGAAAAGAGAAATCTAGGAATGGAAAAAGCAAGGATTTTAGGTTAGCTCAAGTTTGCAGTTTTTATAATGTAAATAAGTCTGCATGGGTGAGCACAAAAAAATCATACTAACATATCACTGCTGGAGCATACATGCATTCAGGCACCTGGCTAGAGAGCTTCACAAGAGAGCTCTACAGCCAGGGGACACTCTGTGGGCCATTTGCCGTCCTCTCTTCACCCCTTTTCCCCCACCCAGGGGAACCCATTAATTGACAGCTTGCTTGGGAAGGGGGCCAGCTATCAGTTGGCAACTGATTGGCAAGAGAAGGTGCCATTCTCCCACTGGGGCAACCTAATCTGGAAAGTCTCCTTGCAACAGAATTCCACCCTCATACCAGTGGTGGGAATGGGGGAATTTTTCAGGGCAGGGTCCCCACAGAGCTTCTTGACGGCTCAGCCCTAGATAGGCTATCACGGAGCCAGTGCTTTCCCTCCCTGTCCCTGGCAGAGCAGAGGATGGGAATGTTCAGTTCCTCCACATCCAAAAGAAGTCTATACAGCCTTTCAAGTTGGATAAGAAGGAAGATCTTCCTTGCAGGTATCCTCTCAAACTTCTTGCAGACAAGGTTGTTCTTTGCTGGGAGAAAGACTATAATGTAATGTCTGTTCATGGCCAGAGTCTGAGAAGAACTGGAGTATGTCCTTGAAGCCATTCCAAGGTGATTAATTTCTGGGATTTGGCATGTGTAAAGGCAGGAGGGAGCGGGATGTTTCATGACTACTCCCAGAATCAGCAAGGAGGTGGTGTATGCAGATCTTAAGTGACTTGAAACCAGCTATACACATGGATGCCAGTGAGCACGTGTGCACATACACACACATTTCACTGTTCTCATCTGGTTTCAGAGCTCCTTTAAATTTTTCTGTTTATATATGTCCTAGGTTCTTTTCCAGGTTATTACGTCTGCCACTTTTAAAGCATTTTCCAGCTGCTTTTTCAAGGACATTTATGAAGCATAAACCTGACAAAACTACTGTTGCACTCACAGCAGGGAGTTTAAGTCAAGTTTTGCCCCAATCCAGGTACATAACTTCCCCTACTTAATCAGATAGAAGTTTTGACCACCTTCCAAACTGATCATGTTGGGAAATTAAATTAATTAGCATGATATGAATGATAACTATCTCAACACAAGCCTGTATTTGGAACAAGGGTTTAGGAATAATGTATGATATCTATAAAAGTATGATAGAAAAACTATATTAACATTAAAGTGTCACTGTTAGTAAACACATTTCTGTTTGAGCATCTTTTACCCACTGTGTTATTAAGTGACACTAATGGAAAAAACTGGGAAACTGAAACAACAAATGTTTAATTTATTTTGGTTTATTTTCTCCTTATATGTGACAGCATTGTGTACAGTCAACATCATTCCTTCTCATTATGGTGATTCTGCCAGTCAGTCAGTTTCAGGTGCAATTTATGAAGGTCTTGCACACAGCAACAGGGAAGAGAAGAGAAAAACAACTTACAGATAGAAACACATTATGGTAACACCACAGAATTTGACGGTGGAGACATGAACACCTGAACTGCTACTTACTCGTTTTCTAAATTGACTAAGTTGGCAGCCCTCCTTTAAACATACACGTGATGCTTACGCTGTGAAAAGAAGTGTAGACTGTAACAATATGCTTAACTAAATTACACACAGTTGACTATTTTTAATTGTTTATACCTAACCAATATCCTTTTAAACGGATCAGCTCATAAATTTTACTGTAGAGTGGAAGGCCTTCTCTTGAATCCAGCAGAGGGCATTGTTTTACTACAAACATGAATGGTTACGGTCCTAGTCTCAAATCATATGAGTACATGCAACAGGGACAGTGTACAATAGGATCGCAGATCATAGAAAAGTAGGGCTGAAAGGGACCTCATGAGATCATCTAGTCCAGCCCATCTAGTCCTGCTCAAGGCAGGCTCAACCCAAGTAAACTATCCCAGCCACATATCTGTCCAACCTTGCCTCCATGAACAGAATTCCATCCCACACAGGATTCAAGCACATGGGGAGAATGACACTTGTCAATGAAGCTGCAGGATCAGGTTCATTATATTGAAACAATGTTAAATGTAAAATTAATAGGTTTTTTAAGTGAAAATCTTTTTACCCTTGCTTCGCATACATTGCCTTATTACCTATTTTCCAATCTACTTACTGATGAAACTGTAGCCCTTTAAGTCAAACTCAAAGTAGCTTCTTTTTTGAAGAAGAAGAAGTGATTTACAAGGTCTTTGAAGTTCGCTATTAAATTATGGTCATAAACTTTCAGGGTAACTAGAAAGTTCCCTCTAAAAATGATGGCAGAGAGGTTTATATTTCTTCTAGGTCATTTTACATTTCCCAGCTCAATCCTGAAGTTGTTATTGCAGCAAAACACCCTGACATATACATTGGACGTGGTTCCATGCTGTTATGGCTAAGAATCTGCCTGTTTCTCCAAGACAAATGCCTCTCTTTTGAGATGTTTTTAATCATCCTTAATGCCTTCCTGGGGAATTGAGGAGGTTTTATTTTCAAATTTCAAAAAAATGTGCAGATTCACTGGCCATTGTCCCCATTGACAATATTTGCAGGGAGTAGGCCAAAATGACCAAGCTTAGGTTGAAGAGGGCTACACATTAGGGCCCCACTGCTAGCACGTCTCCCTGCCACTCAACTGTGGCATAGGCAAAGCCCCCTGCAACCAAGGCCTGATGGATCAAGCCCAAAGGCTGTAGATTGCCACCTCCTGCTCTACAATAAACAAGCCACCTCTCAAAGTT